TCTTATCACCTGCCTCAGAAACACTACAGAGCCTAGTTTATGATAAGAGACTTTTTAGAAGACAACCCCACCACTCTCTTGTCATTGTGGAGATCTAATAGTGCTCTTTCTCAGTTTTCTCTAGAGGATTTTGCCTACTTCAGTTTGACACTGAATTTTGAGTAGCACAAAGTTTCTGGTGCTATGATTGGGCAATGAAAACATGTCAGCAATTTAAGATGTAAACAAGCTTCTATTGGCCACCTTACGTATCTAAATACATTTCCTCAGTTCCCATAAAAACTTGGGGTCCATCATAAGTTGCATGCCAGTCACATGGGTGGATATAAGACACAGTACCCAACACATCTTAGGAAATAGAAAAGAGTCCATTCAACCATGAAAAAGGTCACAAGACATTTTAATCATTTTTGAAATGGAAGTCATCTACCCTTGGTAGTCAAGTAGGTTCCTTTCACTCTCACAGATAGGTAAAGATTTGTTCTTTTTCTTATAAAAAATAAATAAGGTGGATAAGAAGTTTTTCCCAACTAGTGGGTTTTTTACTCCTGATCCATGGTTTGCTGAAGAATCTGAAACCAAAGCTACACCAAGGCTCACAGCATAACCTCACTCTTAAGAAAGGCTTTAAAGCTACCAGTGGTACTCACCATTCTTACTCGTAGTGAAAGTACTAGTTGAAAACATTTGTTAGAATGGAAAAACCCCCTCTAGGCTAAATCTACCTTTGGAAGTTTTGCGCCTTCTTAAATAAGCAGCAGATACTTGAAGATGATATTATCTATAGGATTGAATTCATCAACCCCACCAAAGGTTTTAAGGTATCTCTTTGACCATAGGTCTCACCAGGTCTTTGGATGAGTAATCCCCTCTCCTTTTTTGCATCTTACTTCCTTCTAAAGATAAAGAAACACAGTATTCTGGTAGATAATTCACAAGGTATTGGATTGGTCAATGGTATTTTTTAGTAAATGTCGACAGATGTAGAAAATTTAGATCGATTATCCGATGGTCCGCATAGTTTTAAAAATTTTTTTCAGTACTAGTTAAACCTTAGACTAGTCTTCTTTTCCTTCTTAAGAGATGGCCAGGCCATAAGGTAAAGTCTCCATAAAGGAGCTCTTCTATTGTAATACTTTATTTGTACAAATACTTCTTATATATAGTTTCAAAAGAACTTTGTTTTTTCTATCTTATGTAAAGATCCCTCAATAAAGTTTTGACTTAGCTAGCATTAAAAAAAAAAAAAAAAAAAAGGATATTCTAATTGAGAATTTCTTATTAAGAAGAGGTATTGAGAAGTAGGTTTTTGAAAAAAGCTGGAAAATTTTTTTTTAATTTTTACTCTTTTATTTTTTTGTTGTTTATTTAGATATTTTTAGTTTTCTATATTCTAGTGACTTGGTTTAATATATAATAGTGACAACCTACTGGCAATGATACAGTGAACTAGAAAGGTTTTTACTCAAAGATACTGTGAAGCAAAATATTATTCCTAAGATTGAACTTAGAGACTTTTACATTTATAATAAATTAGTTAGATTAGAATAATAGTTTAGTTGTAGTTTGTATTATACTACTTGAATAATAATATACTTATATTTTCAATTGATTAATAAAATAACAATTTAATTTGACTACAGGTACTTAAAAAAAAATTAGATGAATAAAGTCTAAATATTAAAAACTTTTCTATTTATTATTTATATTTTCTAGACCTGTGGATCAATAGTGCAGTGGGTACATTTCCAGATCACCATCTGCAAGTTACTGGTTCAATCTCACCTAGAAATAGCTTTCGCAATATAGGTTATGTTGTACAAGATGCATGCTCATTACTATATGTATCCTTGTACTCACAGATAACCTATAGATTTCTACCGTCCAACCACGATATAAAAACTTAGGTCCCCAAGTCTTGGCCGGTTTTAGGTGCTAAGGAAAATTCTCGATATACCTGCTGCCTGGAATATGTAAGAATCCAAGACAAGTCAGGAGAAATGCCGATCAGTTCAAGCCTCTCAATGGATATGGGAAAGACATCCATCTCTTGTCAAAACTACACCCTATGGTAGATAAGGGTAACTTCGGTCGCTTGTACCTGTCAAAAATGTAATGGGCCATAACAATAATTATTGGAAGATCTCTATAATCGCAAAACCAACGGCTACCAAAAAGGATAGCTATTGCGGAGGCTAGTGGTTAGCGTTAGTGTCACGTTGGGAACCGTCAGGGGTAGACCCTGGGAGAAAAAATTCAGAAACTATCACCAAGGTAATCAATCCAATGGAAGGAGTAATCCACTATGAAGTAATCAAGAGAAATCCCTATTAGACCAGCTTGCAAGAGTGGTTAAAATGAAGCAATGGAAGGCTATATGCCACCCAATTACATAACATCATTGAATCACCTGAATGTCAAGAACATGACCAAAAGTTTGTACCATTTAAAAGTTCGACTAGCATATGAAGGATCCAAAACATAGTAGGGATCGTTCATAGCATCCACGATTATCAAGTAGTTACAAACCCTACTAAGGAACATAGTATATGGCCCCTTGAAAATTAATAATCAAAAAAGAAGTTCATAGCAATTGTTTGGAACACTATAGCCCGGACTAAGTAGGGAAACTAATAAAAATGATACTATCATGTGATAAAATTTAGTATGCTAAGCTAGGATAGGTAGTTAAAAAGAAAGGTTATATGAATCACTCATGTAATCTAAAAAATGTAATACTGATTTCTCAATAAAGATTCGTTCTGTCAGTTGAACTAGTTAAAAAAAAAAAAATTATTTATATTTTCTTATAATTATTTATTTTTTTAACTTTTTGAAAGATTTTATTTATTTTAGTTTAATTTTAAATTTTAAAATAATACAAATTGGCATAATTTTGTTAAAAATAATTAATTAATCTAATATATATTAATAATAAAATATGAACCTGTGGGTCGATAGCATAGTGGTAGTGCTCCCAGGTCGCAATTACAAGGTCCAGAGTTCAATACCACAAGAGGACCAAGTGAAAATTAAGCCACAAGATGGTACAAAGATCTCATTCCCCCATGATGATGATCATGTACTCCATAAGGCAATAAGGAGATCCCGTTCACTCATCATGCCTATAGTAAGAATGACAAAATCAACACAAGATTCTATATAAGGTTAGCATGAGTGATACGAGCCCTCCATACACAACCGATCTTAAGTACCAAACAGGAATGCAGAAAAAGGACCACACCTGCTTATCGCAGCCATAACAAGACAAAGATACACACAAGGTTCCAGATCATGGCCAAAATAAGCGGTATAAAGATCCCAAGTTAAAAGAACCGATTATTCCAAACAAGGGAAGAAGAAGGACCAGATCACTCTAAAAAATGACTGAGACAAGCCTATACAAGACACAAGACAGGCCCCCGACAATTACAAATGGAGGGTTCGTTGTCCTTCGCATCGAACCAAGTCCCATCACGTAACATAACAGGTCCCACACAAGACAAGCCCCAGAAAAAAATTTAAAGTGCTAACGAAGCCAATAGGACCCCATATAAGAAATCCCCAACACTGGTGGTGCTAAGTATCTTAGGCAAGTTCCTGACACATTAGTTTTCCTGGCAACAGGGATAGCAACAAGTCGTTTGGTGGACCACGATCCTAGGAAGTACCACTTCCGAATATAAAAAGGTAATAATTTGGTGAGAAGCGCTTTATTAAATTCGAAGGATTTGTCCCCGAAACCTTAACTGAGTTAGAATTAAGAAACAGTCCTATACTAGACAGTCACATAGTTACCCCATCCTAGTTGGATGAGACGTAAATAGATACCCCTTGTACTATTCGTTGATCTGTAAATTCTTAGACAGTACGGGTAATTACTCATCCCGGTTGTTTTAGGACCAATCTTGACTCTAATAAAGTTTCAGAACTGGCGCAGGAATGAGCTAGCACTTTAAAAATATATATATATATATATATATATATATATATTAATAATAAAATATAAATAAGTTCTTATGAATTATAATACATATTTGATAATATTATTAATAAAAAAAATTGATTAATATTTTATTTCTATTTTATTTTTTTAATTGAATTAATTTATATCTTAAGTTTTATAAAATCAATAAAACTCATGTAATAAATTTTTAGATAATAAAAAAGATACTATTTATTTAAATTAAAAACTTTTTTTTTATTATTTTTAGTTAATAAAATTTAAAATCAAAAATTTTTTATTTTTATTAAACAATAAAATTAAATAGTTTTTAATTCATACTAAATTTTAATTTTTTGATTGTAGTTAAGAATATATTTTTTAAAAGTTATTGAAGATTATTTTAATTAATAAAGATTCCTATTATTATTTAAGATTTAAAATTTTTTACATTATTACAAAATAAAAGAAATATTGACAATCCAATATTTTGAATAATAAAATATATTTAATAATAAAAAATTTTTAATTGGATATGATTATTAAAAAATATTATATTAAAATATATAGTTTAATTTTTATTATATTATATAATAATTCAAGATTTAGTAAGTAATAAGTCTCTATTCAAATAATATATGAAAAGAAAATTAAGATATAAAATAAATAAGTTTTTTAAATAATCAGAAGAAAAAAAAATATTTGAATAAAATATTTCTTATTGAAAAGAGATTTTAAGAAATAAATCTTTAAAGAAAATTAGATAAATTTATTTATTTATTTTTTTCACATATTTATATATTTTTTCTTCTTTTTTAATTCATTTTTTTGATTTAAGATATTTGTGTTTTTACTTATTTTTAAAAATAATATACAATTCTTGATTATTTTAAAATCAAAAATTTTTTTATTCAAGAACCAGTTAATTTTTTTTTAAATTGAATGCGCTATTACCAAAGGCGGATAGAGCTCAGGTGATTTGATTAGGCTGATTTAGTGATAGACGAGAAAGAAGCCAGTCGCTTTGACAATTTCGAAAACTAAAAAAAAAAACTCAATGGATTCGCGAGATCGTAGGAGTGATGGTATCTTATCTAAGAACCGATTATTTTAGCTTGTTAACGACTTTTTATTCTAACAATTTTGATCCATAAATAGCTGGGAGTAAAAAGAAATATAGAGGTGCCGATCGTGTTTAACAGTCACTTTCACTACACTTCATGTTTTACGTGTCTCTAATATATCCTCAACTTTGATTTTATGCAGACGAAGAGCGTCGAGGTGGTGGACGCGAACGAAGACAAGAACGTATCAGGGGTTATGGAGAAGTTCAAGAGCAGTCCATAGAAGATAGTCCTGAGAAGAGATTGGCGACGCTCCTCATTGTATTAGGCGATAAGGTAGAATATATTTATAGTGGAAGTCTACTCTTTTCGATAACATGAGGGTTAACACGTGTCAATATTAGATGACTCTTGAAGAAATTCATAAAAATATAGAAAAATTTGCGGGCGTTATCCTAGACGAATATTCTAAATATGAAACACATATTCTGAAGACCCTTAAGAATTGGTTTGAAAATTTTGCAAGATCTTACATCGTTTCCTTTGGTTAATGGGCAACATAATCAAATGAGTTTTTTTTTATTACATGCGCGCAGTTTTATGGAATTACCAATGAAATCATCTATATACGGCACTCTTGTCGGTCTCATGAACGCCAAAAGGTCTGATATTGGTGCAGCAGTGGTAAAAATGACTTCGCAAACTTTACAACAGTGTTTATACGAAGGGAATTGGCGAGGTGCGAAATTGGCAGTAAGTGATCAAGATCAACGAATGAATTTGCGTTAATAGATGTGTTCTCATCTAAGATATGAAATTTAAAAATGACATTTCGAAGCTTAAATTTTTCGCAGAATTGACGAACGCAAACGTTATACTGCCTAGAACCATGTTGGATCTTTATGATGATTTGTTGACTACTCTTGATGGATCAAATGTGAAAATGGTAAGGGCTATCCTCAAAGATCCAATACAACCAAATATAGTGCTTCTAATTAACCATCGTTTATGCAGCATCGAGCGGACACGATTGTTTACATATTTCTGTCCACATTGCCTTACGTAAGCATGTCTATAAAGATAGAATTCTTTTGTTTTCAAGCATTTTTTGCATACTATAAACAAACTCACTCTCACTCACTATTTCCCTCAGGTAGCAGCACGACTGCGCGAGAGGAGTCCGGCGTTGTTAGATACCATACTATCTAAAACTGAACGGTACCTTGAAGCAAGAGAAAGGACTATCACGGAAGTTAACGGTTCTATCGTCCTTCAATCCGTCACACCATATTTTGGCATAAATGTTCCATATGAGCAGTTGGATGTTTGTATTTTTTAAAAATTCATTTACTCATTGAGTTGATTTAGCGAATGGTAATGTTCTGTTGTATCTATCACAGACACTTGAATTACTATGGACGCAGATACAGAATTTAAAACAAAAAGATTGGGCGGTATGTTCAACGTTGTTTTATAATTTTCAAAACTACATTCGTCCTTATTTCGTTTTGATGTATATTTAGTGTCCAATTCTATTAAAGCCTTGGTCAAATTACGATAGCATTTTAGTAACGGCAGATCAAGTAAATAGATTATCTTCTCTTCCTAGTGATTCCTGCGCAACACGTAAAATAATCGTAACCTTATATTACATTAAAAGCATGAAGTCGAGAAATTTATAGTTTCAGAACATTCTCCCGGAATAAATAATTATTTTCCGGTACCCTTATTTCGAATTTTTGTC